TAATTTACAATACGTAGTATTTGTGTTTAATATCTATATTAACAATGGCATTCACTATGATAAGAGATATCTGTATCTATTAACTATTAATAAAACAGGAAATTCTGACATCATCATCTCCCCAAACTGCGTACGTGTCACTTTCTCATAAAAAAAATTCTCGCCTAATGCACTTATGATTTCATATATATTTTTGGTTTTTTTTTTAATCATTTTCATTTCAATCGTCTTTTGACTGTGTCAAATAATAGATAAATAAATAATTATTATTTTTTGGTAACTACGAATAATTTTTTTATTATTATTTTATCTTTTTAAGGTTTTAATGTTATTTTGTGTGTGTGTGCGTGTGTTTTTTTTACTAAGGATTGTGCAAACAACCTAACTATGAAGTCTTGTACTAATAATATGAATGTTTGTTATACAAAAGTGAACTAATGTTGTCGGTAAATGTTTTCACTGTTTTGTATTTTCAAGGTGCTGCTATTTATTTAAATTACAAGTATTTTTAATTTGTATTTGGAACTCTTAGACGACATATAAATTCGTATGTATATGGTTTGATTAGATCAGATTGGTCGCCTTTCATTTTTATATTTTGTTACTTATGTAATTTATGATGATAAATATGTTTCTATGATCTAATTATAAGTATGTCCGGAGAAATAAATAACAGAAATAACTTATTTCATCCAATAATTTTTTAATTCGTGCATCGCACGGACCTAATGTAGTATTATACTAAAACAGGGTAAACTAGCTCCAAAGCTAACACGTGTCCCTGTTTTTTTTTTTGTTTGTTTTTTTTTTTTTTTAATTTTTTTTTTTCAATATATATATATTTTTTGGTAGACTGTATAATTGTCAAATATCTTATTATTAAAGATACTCCAAGATAATATCCTTGACTTGCTTAATATTGTTTCTCAATCAATAATATTCACGGATATTCAGCATATATTTTAGGCCAAATTAGAAAATAACACCTGCAAAAAGACCCGATTTTGATTATAACACCTTAACATTTCGAAATTTTATTATAACACCTACAAAAATCCCAAAATTTTGGTTTCACCACCCACTAACGGATTTTTGGATGGAAACCGTTAGTGGGACCCACTAGGGACACGTGTCAGTTGTTTATTGCTTAAAAATAAAAATTAATAAAAATTAAAATTAAAAAAAAAAAAACCCCTAAACTCTAACCCAGCCACCAACCCCACCACCGCCGACCGTCACTACACCGCCGGAGACCCCCCACTGCCATTGGATTCCATTCCTTCTCCGGCGAAACCACCGGCCGTCACCCCCACCAACATCAGCCCCCCCCCCCCCCCCCCCCCCCCCCCCCCCGTAAATCCCCTTCCCCCTTCCTTCTCCCCGAAAAATCACCCCAACCCACCACAACCCTCCACGAAAACCACCTAGCCCCTTCGCCTCTTTCAGACCCACAACCAAACCACCGTCAACAACCGCTACAAGCACCAATCGAAATTTCGCAGGTGGTTCTCCGTCAATTTCAGGCGTCAAACCGGAAGTTGTCTTAGCCAAATTCCGGTGGTGTTGCTTCGCAAAAACCGGCTGAAATCGCTGCGAAATTCAGCAGATTCGCAGGTGGTTCTCCGTCAATTCGCAGGTGGTTGTTCGGAAGATTTCGTGGCTCAAGAAACGGGCTGAAATCCTACAGAATCCGGTGAGTTTCGTCGGTGAAGTTCCGGAGATTTCACAGCTGACACGTGTACATGGCGGGCCCCACTAACGGTTTCCATCCAAAAGTCCGTTAGTGGGTGGTGAAACTAAAATTTTGGGATTTTTGTAGGTGTTATAATAAAATTTCGAAATGTTAAGGTGTTATAATCAAAATCGGGTCTTTTTGCAGGTGTTATTTTCTAATTTGGCCTATATTTTATCCATATTATTAGTTGACTTTAGATTGCTTAATTCAAAGCATGCTCTTATTTTGTATAGTACATTTTGCTATCATTATTCGCACACATACAACTATTGTATATGCTCTAGACTTGTAATATAAATGGATGTAATTATCACTGTCAAATTTCAAACCGAAACCGTTTAATTGCCTGAAACCAACCAACCCAAATGAAAACCAAACTGGTTAAAAATTGATTTTTTGAAACTGAAAACCGACCCGAACTGTATTTTAGTAAACCCGAAACCAAACCGATCCGAATAATGTTAAACCGTATAAAAACCGAACCTGTTAACGAACCGAACTATTTCTAAACCGAACTGAAATAAAATCGAACCGAAAAAGAACCAAACTGTTTTCAACCCGAAACTACTTGACTAGATATATAAACCGTTTACACCGAACCGTTAACAAACCGTAACCCGTTTGCGTCGAACCGTATACAAACTGAACAGTTTATGAACCGAACTGCTTATAAATTGAACCGTTTACAATCCGCTTACTATAAAAAGAAGATTAAAATCATGTTAAAAGGAATTTGAAATGAAAACTAATTATGCATACATGTGTCTACATAATACATTATTTTCCCTGACTTTTTTATGTAATTATGGATTAAGCAAAAATAATTTTCATCTTCTCTTTAAATAATTTTCGGATTTGGCGCCATTAATTTTACGTTTTGGGTTTCTCTTAAACTCAGCTGGGAATTGAATTCATTCAATTTTTTGGGATCAAAGGCCTTAATCCGTGTACATGAGAATAACGCATTCTCATTGGTTAAATGTTTATCTTGCTTTATTTTGATTGGCTGGTAAATATTAGTTTGGTGACAGTGATATTCTAGTTGAAAAGTTTATATTTTTGCTTATTTTTCCAGTTAAGAAAATAGTAAAGTACTTCAAATCATTGTTTGTACTAAAAACTCTCAATTCCTTACTTCCCGTGAAATTTGAGAAACTGACACATCGTTAAGACACGAAGGAATTGATTATTAATAAGTTCACCTTTTTAATAAATAGGTAGTAATACAGAGTAACAAGTTTGCTAGACCAGACCCGAAAGTAATCTGACCTGACCCGATCCGAGTTAAAAGGCTAATTTAATTAGACCCGAACATATCCGACTCAAATAGACCCGATCCGTCATTGGTCAACCCAAACTCCATCCGATTATTCGAATTGACACCTCTACTCGTATCTTCTCAACAGCTCTGCTCTTCATCTCAACTTTTTGTGTCTTTATTTTTTATGAAATCAAAACCGTTTAAGTGCTAGAAACCAACCGACCCAAATGAGAACCAAATTGATTAAAAATCGAAAATTAACTTGAACCGTATTTTAGTAAACCTAAAACCGAGCCGATCTGAATAATGTTAAACTGTATAAGAACCGAACCTGTTAACGAACCGAATCGTTCTAAACCGAATTGAAATAAAATCGAACCGAAAAAGAACCGAACCGTTTTCAACCCAAAACTGTTTGAACCGGGATAAAAACCGTGTACCCCGAACCGTTAGTAAACCGCAACCCGTCTGCACCGAACCGTTTACTACCTGAATCGTTTACAATCCGAACCAAATTAAAACCGCTCAAGAATAAACCGAAACCGAACCAAATCGATAATAATTGAGCCGAACCGAAATTGATCCGTAAGGCACTTAAACCGACTTTCAAACCGACCCTTTTCCAAACCGAACTGTTTTCAAACCGAACCAAAACCGAACTAATCAAACCGTTTTGACAGTACTAGATGTAATTCTTTGTGAATAATATTCTTAACCCTTTCATGGCATTAGAGCAGGTTCCTTCAACCTAATTTTTTTTTCCTCCCCACATTATTCCTATGGCTGCCAATACCATTCATAATGATTGTTGAACCATTTTTTTTTTTTTTTGAAACTATGATGTTGAACCTAATTGTGCTCTCATTGTTGTCAACCTCACTAATATTATCAAACTCAATTCAACAAATTATTTATCAAGTAAAAAAAATATGTAAATTGTTAATCAATTATAATGACTACAAATTTTCTACTAATCTGTTAGTATATTAGGGGTTAATTTGTAACACGTTAACATTTTTTCCATTATTTATAATATTAACTTTGACAGTAGTTGTTATTATTTTTTTTAATAAATGTAAAAATACATATTTTTATCATGAAATAAGTTGTTAAATAGATATTAATTAATAGGAAAAACTGCGAGGAAAATTCTTTTAAGGAGACGACCTTGTGAGGAAGGTCCTTTTATGAAAAAGGTGGCACCTTTTATGGACTTTGGGTTGTGAGGAGGGTCCTTTGACCAAACTCCGGCGTTGACTTCCAAATTTCGGCCAAAAAACATTCACGTGCACAACACGTGAATACTTTAGATTTTTTTTTTCTTTTTTTCCTGTTTCCCGTTCTTCTGCCGGAACAGCGCCAGACCCACCACCAGCCACGGTTATTCCCGGAACCCTCTACCTCCGTCACCTCCTGGCATCCGCCGCGCCAGCGCCTTAACCCTGACCTCCGGCTAAAAAACTTTACATTCGATTTAAGAATAAAAAAGTTATTTTAAAGTAGTATATCATTGTTTTGAGAGGTTAAAAATGTATGATTAAGAGTTTAAGACATCTATGTAAGTAAATTCATTATTATTACTCATTAAATAGTTTTATCTTAAAATTTTGTTAAATGAATATAAGTATTAAGATTTGTAAGCCGTGCATTGTACGGGTGTTATGCTAGTTACTGATTAAACTTAGTTTTACTAAATTGAAATTATTATTACCGAATATTATTGTATTTCCAATTTAATAAGTATCATTATTGAATAAATATGCTTTTTTTTTGGAGTTCCACCCGATTCATCCTTCAGGCTAATTTTGGGGATCAGTTTTAGGTGGTTAGATTCCAGTCTCCTCCCAATTATTGTTGTGGGGGATCGATAAATATGCTTTCAATTGTGAGAGTGAAGTTATTGTTCAACACATTGTAAACAACTAGTTAAAGCAATTTGGACGGACAAAAACAGAGAAATGTCAAAGCCCATGTCCCATGATATTATGTAGCACAGTTGTAAAGATGAGTTCACCGAGCTTAGTTGTTGAATCAACACAAAAGCAAAATTCCAATTTGACGATGAAAGGAAACTGGTATCAGATTCTCAATCAACAAATTACATTCATTTTCAATCATCTTTATATCAGTATAAGTATCATGTTGCTCGAACTCGCTACTACTAATCCCTTTCTTCATCACTGTCTTTTCATCAGGGTCTTTCAGTCTAAGAATGGTACGTATGTTCTGTTTAACATTGCCTTATAAACTTGCTCTTTGAAATGATGCATGTTTGAGTTTTAACAAGTCTGAAATTTTATCTATGGAAATTTATGTGTTTAGTGATTGAATTTGGAATGATTTTAGTGTTTTGGATGGTTTACTAAGAAGGGAAAGAGCTAAGGAAGACGAACATGAAGATACAGTAGGACCGTGGGGAGGTAATGGCGGAACTAGCTGGGATGATGGATGTTATAGCGGTGTAAGAGAAATTAAGCTCGTCTATGATCGATGTATCGATTCAATTACTGTGGTGTATGACAAGAATGGTAAGTCTGTTAAGTCAGAGAAACATGGAGGCAATGGTGGAAGCATAACTGTCGAGGTAACCCTTCCTACTCTTTCGAAATTTGGCTTCTTTTTAACTAGTACTACTCTAGGACTGAATTTATTTCTCTGTTTTCACTTATGACTTGATTTACATATGCTAGATTAAGCTGAATTATCCAGAGGAGTACTTGATCAGTGTAAGCGGCCATTACTCGTCATTAGTACAAGGGATACCTCCGGTTATTAGATCGTTAATGTTTAAAAGCAATCTGAGAATCTTTGGACCTTTTGGCATACAAGAAGGAACCCCGTTTTACTTCCCAATGGAAGGTGGAAGAATCATTGGCTTCAAAGGGAGAAGTGGTTGGTATCTTGATTCCATTGGGTTTTATCTGTCTCGAGCCCAATCGAACACAATAAAGAAGAAAGTTCAACATTGGCTTCAGAAATCCTTGGAACCAAAAAGCAGTAAACAAAGTCATCATACTCTGAAAGCAGCTAAGTAATGCCTGTCGAAAGCAGGATCAACCAACAAAGTACAGAATGCTGCACTTAAAATGGTGTTTCCATGTTTGTTTAGGATTCAGAAGGCTATTCGTCTACTAATACACTCGTCTGATCTAACTAGCTTAGTAATGCAGAAAAAAAAAATTGTTGTCTTAGAAAAAACAGATTATTCCATGTACTTGGTGCACAGAGTAGCATGCATCCACCGGCCAGTGCACCACATGTCTGTAATGCTGAGGTGCATCTGTTGGTTACGCGCATCTTCCATGCCAGTTGGAGCACAATTCTCTGTACACCCAAGTACACCTTAAGCATGAGGTGTCAATGGTCAATCATGGTAGTAACAAAGATAGTTATGAGAATCAGTTTCTGTTTAATTTGCATCTTTTAGTTACAAACATAATTTAATTTCTCCAAGACTCCAAACAAATTAAAGTTAATATGCACAAAAACAATTTCTGTTTACTGAGCAAGTGAGCAGGCGAAATACCTGTCATTTAACTTTTTATGATGAACTAACCTTTCACTTGATTATTTATTGTCAGTTAAACAGAAAACATGAAGAATTTTGTGATATTAATTGAGGTAAAGAAATATTAAACCTCTATGCTTCAATATCCAAATACTTCGTATTTTATAACAGCATTAACATGTATGAAGTACTTCAATAAACACAATTATCAGCAAAAATATATAGTTCAGGTAAGGGCTACTAAGTTCAATTTATCAATCCAAATAAGTTTCGGTATGCATTCAGACTGTTCTATTATAAGCAGCATTCATACCAGTACTCAGAATCACAGATGCAACAACATTTTTATTGTAAAATCGACCTCCGGCCAAACTGCCAACAGTACAATTGGGCTGGTAACAGATAGAAGTTATCAACTTACCAACGCAGTTACATTTATATCAATATATAGCCCGTTTCTCCAAAGCCTTCGACAACTCCTCCACCATGTCTTTGCAACTGTTAACAATTTGAGACTAAAATATAACAAAGTCATCTAGTATTAAACATTTTGGTATAAGGGGTAGGTGTTGCTAGGTGGAGTTATAAAGAGCCGCAAAAGCAATGATACGATTAGTCACACGCATCCATGGCTATAGCAGTCTTTTGCTTCTCCTTGTTGCTTGGCAATGTGCCATAGCTGACATGTCAGGTGTCCTGCAACAAAACTTTTCAATCAGTTCTCCAGAACTTACAAATTCCTTTACCACAACTTTAAATTTATACATTGTATCATATTCCAATAGAAAAAAAAGGGGCTCCAAATGTTCTCCTCAAATCACAAAACCATTTTCTTTGTATTAACTCATGGAAGCCCATTTTAAAGCTAGAGTAAATAGCAATTATGTAGAAAGCTCGGACATATGTAGAAAAATTTTGAATCTAACACTAACATTCATGAATCAGAATCTAGGAAAGAGCTCGAGATATAGATACTGAATGCATCACACAAGAACTCAACATGTTTCTCTCTTATCCCAAATCTCAAATCACAGGCTCACAGCCCCCAAAGCCGCCCTTCTCCCGAACTCTCCCTCTAAAAACAAAAGTATCACAATTGAAGGTCTAAGATTGCACTCATTTGAAACAAGAATAGAACTATTCCTCATATTACATGTAATTGGAGAGTGAGTTGATTGAGAAATGAAGTTGGTTTGAAGCTTTGACCACTTAACTTGTGTATGAGAAAACTTGAAAAATGGGATCAAAGTAGATTCCTTGTGGTTTTTGACATTTAATTAGTGACAATTTCACTATTCTCAATGTCTCTAAAAGGGAAAGGGTGGCCAAAGAAACAGGTATATGGTGAACATTCTGTTACTTTTCCCCTTCTTTGTTTCTTAATATGATTACCATGTAAGGGTAACAGAATGAAAAGCAATGAGACAAACATTACTAGAGAGAAACAATATTTTCACCCTTTCATAAGTTAGAATTTAAAGATCCTTAAATTGACTATATCTTGCTTGCTATATGCTTAATATACGGTAGGTTTTAAGTCACAATTTCTATTTTTAATACAAGAGGTTTGGGTATTTGGTAAACAAAAGCAATTGTAGGAGATACAAGATTCCTACTACATCCCAACTACACGAATATTCACTCTAGAACGATGTTCAAACATAATCCCAATTCCTAGGCCTGTTCACGGATTGGATATCCAAACCGAAATGTGATTTCGGATCGGATATTCAAATACTCAAATATTAGAAACTGATATTCAAATTCGATCCGAAAATATCCGAAAATTCAAACTGATAAGTTGTTGATTCTTAGTAATTGGCAAAACAAAGAGCACACATTTCTTAGGACAAACAAGGACCTTAGAGGTAATAACATATAGTCAGGATAAAATGTAAGTTTATACAGTCGAATCTCCATAACAATCACTCACAGAGTAGCAAAATGTAGAAAACATGTCAACAACCTAGGACTCAGGAAGTATATGAACAAGCATAAAACACAAGTACAACATACAAAATCTATTAAGCATAAAGCTGATGCAAATCAAATTTATATACAGCAGAAATTTATTTACCTTATAAATGCAATCTAACTAAATTGTTCACAAATATTTTATCAACAAAAAAATCACAAAGGCATAAATGGAGCAATCCAGCTAGCTCATCCTCTGGCTTTAAGCTCCGCAAGTCTCCTAGATAAGTCATTCTCGTCAACTGTCTCATCTGTCTTAGTTGGTACAGGATGGGCAGCAGGCTGTGGAAGACCAACTGATACCTCCAAACCATAATCATCTGCCACTTGCTGCATCAAACTGTTGACATCTGTTTCAGGAGTGGAAAGAGATGTTGATCCAGCCATAGAGCTCTCCATAAACTCTGCTTGAACCTCCATATTGACAAATTGCTTCTCAAATTGATCCATTGTTTCTGACATCTTTTGCAAGTTACCTGTATATTCGGAGATAAAATCAGAATACGTAAAGAGGAAAGAAAATAAGAAGTGTAGAATGTAAACAATTATTCGAAGTACAGGGAAAAAGAGGAGGTGTTTTTGGTCAAAGAATTAGGCAATTTAAAAAGAAGAAATCAGAGTCAATATTAAGAAAATTCAAGCACTATTCAAAGCAATTTTTTTGTTTTCCACAATTTACCATATTATTTAAGATATAAATGCCCAAAAAAAAAAAAGAAAAAAACAAGGGAAAAAAAAAAAGAAAGAACCTTACCTTACTAGTTTAAAAGCCAGAAACAATTAGTTCCCCTATTATTTTAATTTTAAGAGAGAAGCTAAGAAACTATATAAGCTGACAAAAGGTAATGCTTTTATCCTAGTTTAAATCACAACAGATATAACAGCCCACAAATGCACAAAATAAGTTGGCAAAAGCTGCATGATTTCTTAATATATGTAAGTAGCTTGACAAATCTCATACTATCACTTAGCCAAAGGCCCAAAGCCTCAAGTAGGTGCTAGGAAGTAAGAAAACAAATTTTACCCAAGATATATCCCAGAGATCTATACTGCTTTCGACTAAATACATGTCAAATACTCAAATATAATATTTTCTGAAAGAAGCAGAGGACAAGAGCAATAGAGAACCACTTCAGTAATATACGGAGTAATATGTAACTCGAACTAATGAGCAAGAAAAACATAAAAAGCCGAGCTAGCTCCTGATGGTTAATGTTGAGGACTTCAATTGAATGCCAAAACTCAATATATTTAATAGCAAAACCAGAGAATAACATAGCTGAGAGATACAACATAAAAACTTGAACACCTGCTGCTATGTATGGTAACACCTGCTACATTACATAAAAACTTTAATGGTTGGAGCATTACATTACATATCCTCCAAATATGATACTATGAAGAATTGTGAACCTGACCCTTGAAGTTGACAATTTAGAAGCGAAATACTAGATAACAAGATTGACAAAATCCTATAATTTACACTACCTAATTCAATTGTTAGAAAGAAATTCAACCATACTACCATTTTCTATTAACTAAATTTGGAGAACAAAAGTGATTTCCAGGAGAAACAAGATTCCTACAAGTCCTCTACAGCATCCCAACTACATTAATATTCACACTGAACGATGTTCATAGCTAAATCTCAATCCCAACACTTTGATTCTGAATAAAATAACTTGGAGTTTTACAAAACCAGGAAGAGGCAACCGTCTCCAAATCCTATCATCAGTGAAATTTGACAGCACGAACTTCATACCATTGCTTCCAATTGAATAAAATGAGTTACAAATATACCACTATAATCGAAGCATTCCCACAAGATTACAAGTAAAACATGATAAAAAGTGTGTGATCTAGCTAGAGTTAGTACTCTGTTTCCATACTATCTATAAACAAGGTTTCAAACAATATTTTCACTAATATCGGTACGACTTATAGAATCTAATTAGTACATCATACGACTTTACAAATCTTAAACCAAGAATCATAAACCGGCAATAATAGAAAACCGGCTCTAAGCAGGAATAATACATTCAACCTTCACACTCATAATCTAAAACAAAATCCATCTCACATTAACAACAAACTAATTATGTTTTCAGAAGACTGAATTATAGTAGTTAATCAATCATCCCATGAATTCAAACCCCAAATCAATTTCAAAATTTAAAATTCATTAAAAAAAATCAAAATCAAAGGGAAAAAAACAAGGAGAAGTTGAAATTACCAGTAGTAAGGGAAGAATTGAGGGATTTAACAATGGAACCCATAGATTTGGAAACAGTTTGCATCTTAGCCTGAGTATCAAGGCGCGCAACAACCGCATCAAGTCGAGAAGAAAGACGAAGGTAATTCATCTGTTCATTGCGCTTACGAATTGCGTTTTCTGCGCAAATTCTTGCACCATCAGTGTTACCCTTCTCCATGGCTTTTTTGATCTTGAGTTTTTGTGCTTTCTCTTCTTTTTCGCACTTTCTGGCTTGCCTGAGAAGGGATTTTGAGGTGAATTTCAAATCCATGATTTGATTCATCAGTTTCTCTGTGCTTCCTCCCATGGCGGATGATTGATTGATGGGCTGATTGAAGAAATTGATGATTTTAGGGTTTTATTAGGGTTTGAGGAGAGAAATTGGGGATTTTACGCAGAAATTAAGTTTCGGGGATTTGGGGAGGAAGGTGACTTGAGAATTTCTTAATTAGGAAGTAAAAATAATTTGTTAGATGTGAAAGAAAGGGACGGACAAGTAGGTCGACGGTTTAAACAATTTTATTGAAACAAATTTTGTCCAAAAATCATTTTAAAGCGATTTTTCGTTCAGAAAAATCATTTAAATTTTTTTTGCCAAGTGAAACCTATCTCATTGTTATTAAAATCCCGATTTAAATATTAGAATCTTACGATTTTACGATTCATGTATGTCACACGATTTTTATTTATAAATATATATTGTCAATTATTGGGTTTCTTAATGTGTAAACAACTATTTTCTATCAATAATTAGGTTTCAAACTCATAATTTAAATATATTTAACTAAATATAGATATGACGTCTTGGTTTTGCATGTCGTAGAATCTTATGATTCATTCTACGATTCGATTTTGATAACCCCTTCTGATTCATCAAATCCCGATTTTAATAACTTTGGATTATCTACAAACACATTGATCTTCCACATCCACCTCTTTCTCTGCAGTGAAATCCGCCAAAACCTTGATGGACTGCAACTCCTTCATGATCAAACATAGTTGTTCTTGTACCTTTTCACCGCAATTTCTTTTATTTTTAAAAGAATTGCTTATTATTTCAATTTATATATGTTATTTTTAAATAAGTACATGTTATTTTATACATGCATGTTTTTTTTTTATATTCAACATCGATTATTTTACTGTATAAAGCTCTTGTGTTAATTTGAATATACCTTACTCTCAACAATAATTTTCATGTAATATTTAATTCTCTCAAAAGAGTGATAATACACATAAGTTGGTTTTGAATACAAGAAAATTATCAATTTTAAGCAAACTAGCAACACAAGGTCTAAAGAAAATAACACAAAGTTTGTGTAAATAGTATGAGAATTATTGATAAAATAATATGAGCTAAAACTTATGTAAAATAAAACAATATTTTGGCAAAATAACACAAATTTTATGTAAAAGAGCACGAGCTTTGAAGTAAATAAGTAAATAACATATTGTTTTACCAAAATAACACAAGATTTTAGCAAAATAACATAAGGTTTAGGCAAAATAACTCAAACATGTCGGGTATGGAGTACCATGATCCATAGTACTCTAGGAGTATATAATACTAATTGACCTTTCCACCACTCGAAAGCTGTTCTTCGAGTTCGAATATCTTCTTATGGGAAGTCTCCAATCGGCTCTTTGTTAGCTGCAACTCTAAATTACTAGAAGAAAGTTCATTATGTACCCTCTGTAACTCTGTAATAACATATCTTCATTTTCTTTTTGGCGAGACAAAAGCTGAGACTAGAACTCTACCCTTTGGGATTGTAAATCAGCAACAGCTTTATAAACTTGATCCTGCATACTTTGAACCTTCACTTTCATTTCTTCATATTCCTTCTTACTACTAATAAGTTGTTCCTTTGAAAACTCCCACACGATTTTCGTTGTTTCTAACTCAGACATAGTACAAGAAAGTTGGTGTTGTACCTTTTGCAATTCATTTCCAAGTTTTGGTAATCTTTCTTGTTAGAAGTAGAAACTTGATCCTGAAGCTCCTTTACCTCTTCTTTGGACAACTCCAACTTAGTTTTTGTTGCATTTAAGTCAAACTCCTTTACACAAAGTTGATTACGTACCTTTTGTAGCTCCATCTCCGTGTCTTGCTGCTGCATTCGACAAGCTGACGCCTCACCCTTGACAGAGCAAAGAAGGGTACTCATCATCGTTACATCCTGATCCTTCTGCTGTAGTTGTTTTCTTAAGGAATCATTTACGGAGTTTGGGACTGTCACTCCAAATTGAGACCAATCAAAGATAACATTATTAATTGGTCTATAAAAATTATTAGTAACAATATTACTCCAATTAGTCTGGTAAACAACTATATAGCATGCTCCATTACAATTCACATAAACTTTTCCTTCTTTAGCCCTCAAAAGAAGGGAGTTATGCAATTTCTCCCACATCGATTCTTTTATCTCAGTTCCATATACGATCAATTTATCTTTCCTCAAATCTATGTCGCGGATAAAACTGTAACTTGACTCTTTTTGATGGAAAACATTCTATACATATACGATCCTTGGTCAAAAACAGCAGAAATATAAGTATCAGGGGTTTCGTCTAGCTTGTATGTGGTCATCTTTTTGGATTCGCAATGATAATAGAGTTATGATTTAGGAAGCTAGAAATTCAATTCGATTATTGGCTAAATTGGAAGCTTTGAGGTGATGAAGACCTATCAGTATTCAAATGGAAGCTTAAGTAGCATAGGATATACGAAGTATCATGTATGAGAGGTAAAGTTTGGGGAAGGATTTTTTTTTTTGACTAAAGCATTCTTCTTGTTAGATTGCATGAAAACTCCTCATATTGGAGTCATGGTATTGATCACAATATATAGGATTACAAAATACGAGTCCTAGATGTGTCAAAAACCTTGAAAGATAAGTATAAAATATATACAATAATATATCCTAAATCTATGACAGATATTATCATTCCATAATATCTATTAGTTCTTCTTCTCTTTATTATTAGTAAAAATCAATAAATTAAAGAACATATATTATAAAAAAATATGGAGTATCTTTCAAAAAAAATTATACATGGAGTGATTAACATAATTAATAATTACGAAATAAGTTCTATAAAAATTGTGATCAAAATAAACCGTTCATTATGACTATATTTTTTCTATATAAATATTGGTTAAAGTGAATTAGATAAATAGTTCAAAAGTTAAAATATTTCATCAAAAATTACTTAGGGTCTGTTTTGTTCAGCTTAATTTCAGTTCAATTCAGCTCTAATCAGTTCAGTTTAGTTCCTAATTTCCTTATCTCATAAACAATTCATTTTATCTCTATTCAGTTTAGTTTAGTTCAATTCAGCCCCAATCAATTCAGTTGTTTTTCAGTAAATTGGAACGGGCCCTAAGAAAGTATATAAGATATCTTTGGTATCATTAATAATATCATATATATTGTTATATTTGGCATATTATATTTGATTTGATACGTAGTACTAACGTTTAAACCCAAAAAAAAAAAAAAAAAAATAAATAAAATAAAATACACGAAGGTTTGAAATCTTTTTAGAATAAATATCAAATTATCAAGTCAACAAGTTAACCTTTAATATTCCTTTCTATTTTTTAAAAGAAACCTTAAATATTACTTTTTTTTTCTTTTAAAGAAAACCTTTAATTTAATATTCCTTTGAAACACTATATATATTTGTATTCTTTCTTTCATAAATAATATTAATTTGGCATATATCTTTGATTTGATATGTAGTACGAACGTTTAAACCCAATTATTGTTTCGCACAGGCGAGTGTACTATGCGCAAAGGATCGTATTCACAGGGAATGGGTAAAGGACACCCAGAGTATGGAACAGTTGTAAGCTAGTCCGGTCACAAGTTGGAGTTTTGATTAGTTAACTTCTATAGAGATAAACGCTAGGGGAAACGAGATTCAACACCAACCAAACCAAATAATCAATAATAGGATAAATCATAACGTACATGGTGTGATAGAATAGGAATTAACATTGTTTTTTTTTTCAAAGTCACAACATAAGTATTCCCTAGATCAAACACTAACATGATAAAGAGTAAGTCTCAATGGTAGGTGATTAGGGGATTTTTATCCACCAATCACCGTCTGACAAGTGGACCAACCAGGTTCCGCCACGTGTCCTTCACGAAGGCCAACAGGAGCCTGCCACGTGTCAATCACAGATACGTCCTCTACGGACCACTTAAGACACGCCACGTGTCCGCCCATGCCAAATGGGAAAACCGGCCATCAAGGCCCAGTCCAGTCTAGAGGCCCGGTCAGTCCTAGGTTTACCTTAAACCTAGAGAGTTGCACGCTTCCCAAGGCTATAAATACTTGATTAATCCTCATTAATCAGAATCGAATAACTAAGAGATCAAGCAGAGAAGAACAGAGTTATTAACGACCGGCTAATCTCGCTAACAACGCAGATTACCAACACTAAGCACTCTCACCTAGAGAGATCTAATTACTTTAATTTCTGTATTGATTACTCCTTAATCGGGTACTAACTTGACCGTTGGAGGCGGAGCTCTCAGGAGTCTCCGTTATTTTGCAGGTACAGGCGTCCGGTTCCAGTCTCGGAATTGTAACTCTCCCGCAGGACATCAGAAAACCCCGAAACATTTGGCGCCGTCTGTGGGGAGAGTACTTCAGAGATGGCATCCAAGTCTGTACCGACTCCAGAAGAGAGGCGTCCCCTAGACGACCCTCAAGTTCAGTCGGACCATGATACCGAAAGTGAATTTGAAGTTGAAACTCATACAGCTCCAGACGGGACCTTAAGGGCCCGACGTACCCGTCATACCGAAATGAGGGAACGGGAGTGTCCTCAAACAGGAAGCGAGCCAGCAGGCGCATCGCTTGCTCGGCAACAGCCGACTGATGGGTCTGCTCCCATCACAAGGAATGAACTCATGACCTTCATGAGGAACTTCAAGGGAGAGATCCAAGAGTTGATCAACAAAAAACCGCCTGTTTCAGTCAAAGAGCAGTCGGCCAAGAAACCTTCCACTTCACTGAAGAGGAAGCCAGTTCAAGGGCGAGAGGCGACTCCCCATCCTAAATCCAAGAAGCGGGAGTCGTCTGCTCTTGATTTCACAAAACTCCGTTATCCTACGGGAAATAGGAAACCGGTTCGTCATATTCAGGCGAACGGGTCAAAGCAAACGTTCACAGATGCTCGGCACCTGCTAGAGCAGAAGAAGAGTGACCGATTATCAGAGTCGGCTTCTACTTCAAATTTTCAGGACAGTTTGCGAAATGCCTCGATGAGGCCAACTCAGTCGTACCATGAGAGTCAGTCAGGCGGCACCTCCCGTCAGTCCGGCTTTCATAGTGCCCAGGCGGTACCAAACTTACCATTTGTGCCGCAACAACAGTATTTTATGCAGCCACCTCCATTTGGTGGACCTGCAGCAAAAAACGTCCAACCTATGGACTGGCAGCTACGGCTGCTTAGACTTGGTGAACAGCCGTCGGCCTTCTCC